TGCATCAACATGGGAGACCTGGGAGGAAGCTCCTGACTGAGTCCTCCTGTTGAGTCTTGGCTGCTCCATTTTCCATTAACTCCCTGTCAATGCCTCTGGGAAGGCAGAGGAAGATGGCCCCAGTGCTTGAGTCCCTACGCCCATGTGGGAGACCCAGATGAAGCTCTGGCCTGCTGGCTTGAGCCTGGCCAGCCCTGGCTGTTGTGTCCATTTGAGGAGTGTACTGGTGGTTGGAAGCTCTCTGTTTCTTTCTATTTCTTCTCCTCTCCTGCTCTGCCTTTCAAATAAATAAATAAATGTTAAAAAAAAGGCCCCAGTGAATATGAGAGTAATATAATGTATTATATAATATAGTTTGCTTTTTAGGAATGTTAGTGGTAAGGGAAGGCACCTCAGTGATTTTGAGTAGTAGCTTTGGTTTGGAAATGACTAATTTTCCAGAGAATTAGAAGGTCAGATTAGTAAGTGGAGTTAACTCAGAATTGTTTTGTATTGGCAGTGAATGATGCATTTCCCAGATGGAACATGAGTTATGTAAAAGGAGTCTACCAGGCCCTGCCCATATTTTACTATGATGTCACTGGGGTGTGAGCTGTAGCTGATTTGTACATTGAAGAAAGACTTGTTTCAAATTGGTGCTCAGTTTTACAAGATGACTAATAAGATGTCTGAGTAAGCCAATTTGCCAATTTGTCAGCTACTGATGTTTTAATTTTTATCATAAGGAATTTAATCTGAAAATTAATCCTGCTTGGAGAATACTGGTAATAGGGACCTTTAATGTTAGTGGAGTGAATTTCTTCCTCCCTCTTTTTAAAAAATATTTACTTACTTTTTTTTTTATTGCAAACTCAGATATACAGAGAGGAGGAGAGACAGAGAGAAAAATCTTATATCTGATGATTAACTCCCCAAAGCAGCTGCAACGGCTGGAGCTGAGCTGATCTGAAGCCAGGACCCTGGAGCCTCTTCCAGTTCTCCCACATGGGTGCAGGGTCCCAAGACTCCAGACCATCCTTGACTGCTTTCCCTGCTCTCCCAGGGAGCTGGATTGGAAGCAAGGCTGCTGGGATTAGAACTGGCGCCCATATGAGATCCTGGTACATGCAAGGCAAGGACTTTAGCTGCTGAGCTACCGCACCAGGCCTTCTTCCTCTCTCTTTTTTTTTTTTTTAAGACTCATGGATGCATCAAAGCATTCATGGTTTAGTACTGTAAGGCTTGATTAGTCATAAACTTACAGTACACTTTAAGATCACTCTGGTTTTTAATTTGTTTTTAAACATAGTGCTAATTAAATCCCAATCTCATTATTGTAGGCTTTACTAGGAATAAATTGTTGTCTGTGTTATCTGTTGTAATAATGATGTATATTTAGTGCTTTTAAACATGGTGCTAAAGTATGGTTATGCTTTTAACCTTTCTAAATGCATAGTTCAGTAGCATTTTGACAATACAGTCACATTGCTGTCATTGTCACAGTAATTTATACCTAGAAGATTGCTCATATTGCAAATTAAGATTCTGTAGCTCTTAGATGATAATCGCCCCTTGCCCCTTGCACTGGTCCCTGGCACCTGCCATTCCTGGCCCTGACTGCTGGAGGTGTCTTATGTAAGTGTGGTTATGCAGTATGTGTCTTTTTGTTACTGACTTAATTTTCAAGGTTTACTCATAATGTAACATGTACCAGAACTGTTTCTTCTTAAGTCAGGATAGTATTTCAGTGTGTGCAGATGCCACATTCTGTTTGTGCAATTCATTTGTCATTGGACACTTGGGCTGCTTTCCCACTTTGGCTCTTGGGAATAGCGCTGCTATGAAGATGGGTTCACTTCAGTGCTGTTTTTATGGAGGCTGTGCATAGCAGCAAGGTTCTGGCCTTTTAATTTCAGTATTGTTGTAAATGAAGAGGAAGATGTTTTCTTAGGTTTTTGGTAGGTGGCTTTTTTGATGCTGTGGTTTTTAAGTTTTTATTAATTTTTAAAAGATTTATTTGAAAGGCAGAATGACACACATAGATCTCTTCTCTATGCTGGTTCACTTCCCACATGATCACAACAGCTGGAGCTGGGTCAGGTGCAAGCCAGGAACTCCGTCAGCGTCTCCCATGTGGATGTCAGGGACCCAAGCACTTGAGCCATCTTCCGCTTCCTTGTTAGGCACATGAAGTGGGGTTCTTTAACTGGGATTCCTATGTGGGGTGCTGGCACTACAGGCAGCAGCTTAACCCTGTGTGCTACCTCAGTGACCAGTTCTTAGTTTTTTTCAAATGAAATTGAAGAACTGAATTTGTTAACTGCTGTATGATCACCGTTTTGCTTTCTAGTCATTGTAAGTTGAAGTTTTCAGTGTTACATTTAGAATTTTGTATTCCTGTAGTCCTTGACCCTTTGTACCCTAATCAACTAAGTAAGATTATTAAAAAAAAAAGATTTTGTAGTAATATTTAATTTAGCCAACTGATTAATATTTTAAGGTATGTTAGCTTTTTTCATTAATCATTTAAAAATTTATTTAAATGGTAGACACAGAGAGATTCTTCCATGTGCTTGTTGGTTCACTTGCCTAATGTCAGCAACAACCAGGGCTAGGCCAGGAAGGAGCGTGGATCAGGGGCTCATTGTAGACCCACATTGGTGGGAGGGGAAAGACTACGTGAACATTACTGCTATTTTCCCAGGATGCACATGATCAGGAAGCGGGAATTGGGTAAGGAGAGTCACACCTGAAAACCAGGCAACTTCAGTGTGGGGTACCACTAGGCTGTGAAACTTTACATCAAAATGCTTCTCACGTATTTGATACTGAAAGTTTAATTCTCACTTTGTTGTTTTCTTGATTCTGTTATTATTTTAAGCCGTTTTGGGGAAAGCCTTCTCTTGGTATCTATCCATCAGTCCGAGTTTGGAGGGAGAATTTTGTTTGATAAATGTGGAGTGGAGAATGACAGGAGGGAAATTTTCTGCATGCAAACCACCATTTCTCTCTCTCTTGCCTTTTTTTTTTTTGAAAGAGATTTAGTAATTTGATAAGCAGAGTGACAGAGTGAGAACAAGCAAACAAGAGAGATTATTTAGCATTTGCTGGCTCATTCCTCAGATATCTGCCTGCAACAGCCTGATCTGGGCCAGGAGGAATTTTAGTGTGCAGTATCTGGCTACCAAAGTACTTGGACCCTGTTCTGCTGCCTTCCCAGGCACATTAGTAGAAAACTGAATTCAAAGTGGAGTAGCCAAGACTTGAACTGCTGTCTCTCATGGGATGCTGGTGTTGTAAACATCAGCTTAGTGCACTGTGCTACAATGCCAGCTCCTGAGTACTAGTGGTAAGAGATATTTGTAAGTATTGACATGTTTAGGACAGTATGACTTTAGCTTGGGTGTATTGATTATTAGGTAATACATTGTATTATTTAGGATTTTCCAGAGATTTATTCTGTAATCACATCATTTAATGCTTTCAGATTATTATGTTGAAGGAAAATGTTTGACTTCCTTCTCAATTTAAGATCATTTGATGTGAAGATAATGCATCGTTATAGGGCTAGCTATTTGACACCTTGCTTTTTGGGGCATGCATTCTGGGTGCATATGCTGCTCATTGCAGGTGCAACTCCTCTGCTCTGACCAAATGTTCTTACAAGAAGCTAATAACTAGCTTTGTGGTGAGTGGTAAGATAGTGAAATCTGAGTCACAGTGCTATTTCTGGAGAGTAGATAAATTCACATGTAATACAGATTTGACTGTAAGGGGCCAGCTAGCATGGTAAAGTCAGATACTGTGAAGCAGGGGAATTATCCAACGATGGTGACCTCCAAGCCTAAGGAAGTGGAGATGTGTGTGTGTGTGTGTGTAAAGTTTTGCAATGTGACTCCCCAAGTGACCACAATGGCTGGTGCTGCACTGATCTGAAGCAGGGAGCCAGGAAGTTCCTGCAGCTTTCCCACATGGGTGCAGGGTCCCAGGGCTTTGGACCGTCCTTGACCTCTTTCCCAGGCAGGGAGCTGGATGGGAAGTGGAGCTGCTGAGACTAGAACCGGCGCCCATATGAGATCACAGTGCATTCAAGGCGAGGACTTTAGTGTCTAGGCCACTGCGCTGGGCCCTAGAATGGGATTTTAAACCCAATATGAGACATGGGTGTCTTAACTGCTAGTCCCAGCACTTTTCCCTTGATATTTTTAAACTATAATAATGAAAGTGTTCTTAATTTCATTGCCAGACTTTCCTGTTGGGGGTGTATAGAAAGACAACTGACCTTTGTATATTGTATTTTATGGCTTTGCAGTACTTGTTTATTTTAGTAGTGTTTTTAAACTGAATTCTGTAGGATTTTCAATATATTTTGCAGATCTTATCATCTACAAGTAGTTTGACTTCCTGCTTTCTAGGCTGTTGTTTTTGCTGCCTCACTGACCTGCCTATTATCTAGTAATCTATCTGTTGAACAAAAATTGAGCAGTAGACATCTTTTTCTTATTCTGGATGTTGGCAGTTAGGTTCTTCAGTCTTCAACATTACCTGTTATGCTAGCTGTGTGGGTTTAAGCGATTTTATTCATTTCTTTTCAGTTTGTTTGGAAGGCCAACACACACACACACACACACACACACACACACACACACACACACACACACACACACACGTTGGTTTACTCCTTAAATATTTGCAGGCCAAAACTAAACCAAGGTCTTCCTTGTGGATAACAGCGATCAAGGTGCTTGAGCCATCACCTGCTCCGGGGGATGCATTAGCAAGGAGCTGAATTGGAAGCTCAAACTAAGCGTGCTGATTAGGCATGTGAGTGTGCCTGGTGTACACAGGCTGATCTGCTCCGCTCTGTGGGGGAGTTTTAGATGCCCTTGCTTTGACTGAGACATGTTCAGTCTATTCCTAGTTTGTTGAATGTTTTAATCATGAGTGAACATTGAATTTTTGTCAAATGCTTCCTGTAAAATAATAAAAAAAATGACTTTTCCTTGTTTTTTTTTCTGCAGAAATTGACTTGCATACTAAATGTGTGGTGGATGTTGATGCAAACAAGGTTATCCTCAGTCCTGTCAACACGAATCTTTCCAAAGGAGATGCCCGGTAAGTTGGTGTTTGTGTTCAGTGGATTTTAAATGTCTGAAAGCAGCAGTGGCCACCAAGTTGTGTTGAGTTGAACAAACACTGCTTGCTCTGCAGTCACATATTGCTGCTTTCCGCTACTCTTGAGTTGATGAGATGGGGTCTGTAGTGCAGACTGATGAAGTGTCCAAGTGAAGGTTCTGTGTAGTGTTTATATCAGAAGCTCAAGATGGAGAGTGGTGGGTTGTGAAGTGATTGAGGAAAGGTTCTGGAAGGCACTGATGCTGGTAAGAGGTCTAGGTAAAATGTAAAAGGAAGAGGATGGTAAAAAGGAAGGCTTTTAGGCTGTTCTTAGAGTAGGTGGCCTTTATTTTTGTTGATTCAAAGCCCACCTGTCGATCAGAGCCCATCTGAGGTCCTCAGGAGTTCTTCTCCCATACATACTTGTCAGCTACAGTCTTGCTACTAATTTCATGATTATTGATGGTTTTTGTGGTTAATTCCAGCTCTGCAGTGGATTTTAAGGTCTCTGAGGGAGGAGACTGCCAGGGTTGGGGATGGATGCCTGGCACCAGTTCTGCTCTGAATGATCGTGTGGGCAAAAGGCAGGCCAGGAAAGTGAATTAGGGGAGAATCAAGAGATTAATTTAGGTTTCTCAGTAAATGGAAGGCAATTAATTTGATCAACTTAACTGGGATTAGATTACAGGAAATCTGGAAAGCCAACAAGGAAGTTAGGCATTTTTTGTGAGTAAGCCATTGTCTCCCACAGTTTTTGAGTATTATGATTGTGAGGAAGTGGATCAGGAAAAATTGTCAGTTGGCAGCATTGCAGATGGGTCAGACAGACTGTGCAGGACAGCTGTGTCAGTTTTCTGTACTCATCCTGAAGTGAGGATGACGGGGGAAGAGCTGATGGTGAATAAACACTTGAAGCACAGTGTAGCGTGCTCTGCAAATGCTCTTGTGAATGAAATAGTGCGGAGCAGCTGACTTCCAGAGACTCTGACATTACTCCTTAACTGTATTATTGTAGCTTGTTATGTTTTACCCGTCTGTGAACTTCATCTGTGTGACATTTGCCCAATCTGACATCTCCTCCCTTCCCAAATATCAAATTGCATAGTGATTGTTAAGCTGTGCTTTTAAGATCTTTTGTCAGTGTTCAAGTTCATTCTTACAGATGCAGAGATATTGCCTAATTAGCTCTAGTTATGAGAACTGTGGCATATACCTGGTGTGAAGGGTATACATGGGTCAGCAATGATGTTGTTACTTGGAGTCTGCTAATGAAATGGACTGTCACCCAGAGTATTAGTTGAAAATACTACCTTTGGGACTGTTTAATGCTCTTGGGACTTAATAGCCTGGAGGCTGGTCTTAGAGTTTAGTTATTTCCAACAAACAAATTGGGAAAGAGTGTTCTCTGGTAGAAAGACGGAATGTCTCTGTCCATTTAGACTGCCTTGGAGTTAAGTGTGTCATTTGCTGACATTTTTACCTGTGATCCTTACTTAGGAAGTGTTTATTGCTGCCTAACAAATGACCTCCAAATGCAGTGACTTGAGAGAACAATAGTCATTTATTATATTCTGGTTTCTGTGGGTCAGGAGTTCATTTGGAGTTCAGTGGGGGGTGGCTTGTCCTTGCTTCACGCTGCCTGGTGTCTAGCTGGAAGACTTGAAGGTTGCAGTTAGAGTCACAGGGAGAAGGTTTGGTCACCCAGGCCTGGTCCTTGATGTTGCCTGTTGATTGAAGGCCTCCCTGGGGCTGCGTAGAATACCCACTCACAATGTAGTGGTAGGTTCTCAGGGCAAGTGTCATGTCCCCAGAGAGAGAGACACACACACACACACATACACACACGCATATACACACAGAGCAGGGTGGGGTTCGGGGTGGGTGGTGTTGTCTTTTGTGGTACAGCCTGAGGAGTTGAGTTAACAGGTCACTTCTGTTACATTTCTTCTTGCTGAGGGCAGGTACAACACTTTGTGCAGTTTCAAGGAGAGGAAGGAATGAGGCTGCACTTGGGATGCCCAGATCCCTTGTCAGCGTGCCACATCCCTTGTCAGCGTGCCTGCTACTGCCTCTGATCTAGCATCCTACAGATGCATGCTGGGATGCAGAAGATAATGACTCAAGTACCTGAGTCCCTGTCCTCTATGTCCATGCTGATGGAGTGCTGGGCCATGACTTAGGTCTGGCTCAGCCCTAGTGTTGAGGTGTTTGGGGAGCAGTGTAGCAGCAGATGAGAGCTTTCTTTGTCTCTGCCTTTTCAAGTAAATAGAACAAAAATTTTAAAAAATGAAGAAAATGTGAATTTTCCATCAGATTTTTGACACCCCTCATTTATTGTAACTAATGAAAACCATGGTTAAATTGATAAACCTTTTGCAATTTCATGATTTATTGACGGAGATTTGGAAAACTGTTTGTGAATGTGTTACATGTGGGACTTCTAAACTATCTTGAAAACTGAAAAATTTAAATTTGAAAAAATTGTTACTACTAGTCCAATAGAAGATGAAGAACACTGACTTTGGAGCAGAGGTAGCATGGTTCGATGTCATCTGTGATGTGTGTTACTCTGGACAAGTTACTTAATTCTCTTGTGCCTCAGTTTCTTTATTTGTAAAGTAGATACACTAGTACCTGTAATGTGCATATATGTGATATTTATTTAAATGTGGATTGAATGAATTCAGACTACAACAGATGCTAGCACTGGTACACAGTAGACCCTGTAGAATTGTTAGCTATTGTTTTTTTTTTTTTTTTTTATATATTGCTCTTAGGGCTTGTGATCAAGTTGTAGTCCTTTGGTCCTCAACAATCGTAGATGTTTACAAAGGTCGTAAGTTTGTTTTTTGTTTTTTAAGGAAAGAGTATGTTTGAGAACACGTGTCTCACATAAAACTACTTAGTTCTGAAACAGTTTGAGCTTTGCAAGGTGAGAAGTTTTATTAAAGTTTGCTTAATGTTAATTAGTCTCCAAGATTCTAACATTATCTCTTATGGAGACCTCTAATTTCTTAAACTTTTATTAATGTGAACTTTTAATGCCTACAATCCAGGCTTTTCCCTTTCAAATAACTTGAGAATCCAGATTGACACGCTGCTCAGGATGATGGACTAAGATCAGAGGATTACCTCATCAAATGTGGAAAGGATCAGTGATGAGGTTTTCCTGTTTTGCGGCACTCGGGACACTAGTGAATGAAATAGTTGTGTCCAGATTTTTTTTTTTATTAAAGATTATTTGTTTTTATTTGAAAGGCTGATTTTAGAGAAGGTCTGCCATCCAGTAGTTTGCTCCCCAAATAGCGGTAATGAACTTATCTGAAGCTAGGAACCAGGAGTCTCTTGTCTATCCTGTGGGTGCAGGGTCCCAAGGCTTTGGGCCATCCTCCACTATTCTTCCAATCTATAAGCAGGAAATTAGATGGGAACAGCAGGGATATGAATCCTTGCCAAAATGGGGATGCTGTTGTGGAGGATTAGCCAGTTGAGCCACTGTGTTGTCCCCTTTTTCTTTTTCTTATCTGATTAGTACTGCCGTATGCCAATACATTTTATGTATGTATGTTCCCGTGCAGAGCCACACAACCTATACTACCAGTGCAAGGAAAGATTTTTTTGGGGGGGGATTAATTATCTGGCCCTGAATTAACTTTTACTTTATTGTTCCTTCAGTTTTCTGAATCTTCATCTGTAACATAATTAAAAACATTCTTTTTTTTTGGGACAAATAGATGACTTCTTCACTATTTCAGATATTAGTAAATAAGATTCTTAACATGTAAGTCTTAGCATTTTGGCACACTTATAAAAGTCCCTTTGTGACTAGTTGATATGAGACCATGATGTAATAGCTAATTTAGCTTTAGGCTGTATTTTATTTGGGTTATATTTTAAAGCTTATTAAAATGTTATGTTATAATTGAAAGTTAATGCTGGTGCTGGTCTCCCTGATAGGGCAGGATGGTCTCCCAGACTAAGTTGCATTGTTCGCCTTTTGCTGTTTTTTTCTTTCCTTTGGCCAAACAAGCCATTCCTGCTCGCTCTGGCTACATAGTGAATGGAAAGACTTATGATGTGTCTTAAAGGGATTAAGGTGTGTTTTCTCCTGGTGGCCTCTACTCTGTGACTCACTTGAGTTAATAGCTGATGTCTGGTGAGTTGGGAAAGCAAAATGTGTTTCCCCTAGGAACTGTGGGTGTCAAATAAAAGTGCTTTGCTGTCAGTAGTGACCAGTTTAACTGACAACTTGAGCAAGCACAGATCTGATACTAGTCAAAGTGCTTCACCCCACGTTCCCATTTCCCCACATAGGACTGTAGTGAGATGGATGCTTAAAGGCCGAACTGGAATAAAATGCATCATTTTCACAGCTTAATTTGTAAGCACCACTGTACTGGAACCAGCCTCATTTTCACAGCTTAATTTGAAGACATTGTCACATGTAAAAAACTTTTCTTTGTTTTTCCCCTGGGTGTGTGATGATGAAGAATACAGTGATTGCTAGTGTACTTTGGTGTTAGTGTATCTATGGTGCCAGCAGTTTTACCCAGTGTTAATGTGAATATCAATAAAGTGAAAAACTATTATTAAGAAATTGGTTTTGACTTTTAGACCCTTTGGAAACTTGTGGAGGACCTCCAGGAGACATCATTGAGACCATCTGCTTTAGGGGTTTAATCGATTTGCAAGTTCTAAGAACCCAGTGGATGCTGTTGATGGTTTATTTAATTAAATTTTTTTCTGAATTCTAATTTTTTTTTATTTTGAGATTTTTAAAAAGATACATTTATTTTTATTGGAAAGCCAGATATACAGAAAGAAAGAGAGGAAGGTCTTCCGTCTGATGGTTCACTCCCCAAGTGAGCGCAACGGCATGAGCTGAGCCAATCCGAAGCCAGGAGTCAGGAGCTCTTTCGGGTCTCCGGGAGCAGCGAGGGCACAAACTGGTACCCCTTTGATGGATACTGGTGTCGTTTTATCCACTGTACCACAATGCT